CAATACGAAAAGTTGAAAAAAAAAATGATCCGTATTGCTATGATACAGGTCGGCTAAATTTGTTGACATTTTCAAAAATGCACTCAGGCTATATGCTACGCGCAAAATGTCTGAAAACAAACTTTTTCGTAATACAATAGGGAAGATGCAATATTTTTATTTTTGTTTTCATTTTAAAGAATTCCATGTAGAATAAACCACAGATATATTAAAAAATTAAAACATTGTGATTTATCGGAAAAAATGTGGTTTTAAATTGACAATTTAAATTTTCGCGCGCAAACGAACCTATTGTTGCGATGACGTCACTCCTGTCTGTCACTGGTCGTACTTGTTCGTCGCTGGCTTTAAAGTTTCATACTTTTGCATATATTTTCGTTTCCGAAATATTTTTTTAAAAAAATTAAAATGGACTATCCATCAACATCATGTGATCATAACAATACCACTAATATTCCGAAAAAAAGCCGTGTTGACTCATGTTTTGTGCCAATCTACTTCAACAAAGTTCCCAAAAAATTGTTTTTGACTGGAACTTCTGACCCAAAACTGAAAAAAAAAAGTGGTTTGAAGCAGCGAAGAGAAATGACAATTATTCTCCAAAGACCATTATTCGATGCTGAGAAATTCACTTTGACGTAAGTCGGCGAATATACTTGTTATATGCTTAATTAATCTGCTTGTACGTAAAAACGCATTAGTAACCTACCTAATACTTATAAAACCTGTCTATAACTTATTTTTAATTTTACAGTTGGAGAATGACGTCGAAAATTAGATAAAGTTTAAAATGTGTGGCACAATCTTCACATTGGCAGGACTGAACCAAGCTTTGCGTTTCATTAAAAATAACTGTAACACGATAACCTTCTTTATGTACTTTATGTTCCGGAGAACTCGACCTTTTACTGTACATAATTCTCCATCTCTTTTAATTTGGACATAGCCGATTGCATTATCGCCGTAAGATTTGTAGAAGCCGCTGAATAAAATACGAAGTTTACCAACTACGATTTTTACATACCGTAGTAATTTAGTCCCTTTCATTTCTACACTTAAAAACTCTGCACTTTGGACAAAAAAAGTTATAACCATGTCAACGCTAACTCTTGGTAAATTCCTGGAGTCTGCTTTGATAAACGCAACTTCCATTTTTATTAAATGTAAAAAAACGCAATAAATATTCCCATAAAATAATATTTACTTTAACAACCATAACCTCAAAGAAGTTGTCATAACAGGAGTGACGTCACTAAACGCTGATTGGTGTTTTAAAATACGTTCTGTTTCAAGTATTTTTAATTCGTAATAATTGTTAAAAAACAACATTATGTAAAATAAAAACGTTGCAGTGGCATTTCTTTTATATTTTTTTAACATTTTAATCATAAAATTTTCAAAAATATTATATATGCATCTTCCCTATTATAAAATCTATGTACATATTCACTATCAGACGTATTGCTATAATACCGACTGTCTTTTTTTTTTTGACTCAGCAGAAATGGCCTCCCACGCAGTTGCTACACTTTCGACCGTTACTACACACCTAGTCGGGTTCAGAATCATACAATCTAACGATTTTATAGGGTTTTTGCCGTATTGCTATGAGACATGGTTTTGGTCGTGGGCTCTCGTACTATTAATGTATTTATTAATTTTTATGTACTTCTTTAATTTATTTCCTTTACATCCAATAACCCCCAGTGTATTCTTACTGTTTTTAGTATCATCATGTGTGAGGTCTATGGTGACAGTGGGCTGGTTATTAATCGTAGCAGAAACCATGTCCGGGGCACAAACCACCAGCTCATCGAAAAAGCTCTGATTCAATGAGGCTGTTATGTTTTGTTTTGATGCTTCTAGGAGTGAAATTGTGTGATTGGCATCTTGTAATTGTGTTTCTAAAATATGAATTCGCTGCAATGTTTGCTCATACTCATTTCTGCAATGATCAAAGCCATCCACGATGCACTGCAGCCTGTCCCGAGCATCAATGGCATCACTATACTGTTTGTGTAGCTCAGCCATTTCACTCTTTAACTTTTGATTTTTACTTAAAATGTCTAATAATTCCCTTTCATTGTCATCCCGTTCCCTCTTTTCCTTTATTTAAATGGGCCTCCTTGTAAGACTTTCCACTTTGTACATTTTTAAAGTTACTTTTCGGCATAGGTTCGACGTCAGCTTTTTGAGGGAAGTTCTGGTGTTCTACTTTTTTGTTTCGAATGGTCGGGAATTTTTGTTTTTGCAAGTCCTTGTATACGCTGCAACCTTTATAGTTTGCTGGATGATTGCCATCGCATAAGGCGCATTTGACAGGGTCGGAACGTTCTTTACGGGTGCAATTTGTAGATAAGTGGTTTCCAGCGCATTTAATGCATTTGGGAGTGCGACGACAGTATGCTTTTGTGTGTCCATATTGCTGGCAGTTTGCACATTGGGGTATGTTGCGTGTTTGTCTTGGTGGTTCTACTTTTATACGTAAGTGTAAGAGGCTTGTAAGCTCGTATATTTGTTTGTTGTTTGCTTTTGGTAGCAATTCAACAATAAACATATGTAGAGGTTTTTTTGTCGTTCTTTGCTTGATGTTCCATATTTTAACGGTGTCATGACCCTTTTCTTTTAGGGCTTCATGAATTTCTTCGATATCTATGGACGGGTGAATGTTTTTTAGGACTACTTTATAGTTACGCTCCTGCTTAGGCTTGTATGTATAAAACTCTGTGTTTTTGGCTTCTAGTTGTTTGACTATTTCCTTATAAGTGTCTGGATTCGCAGTTTGGATTTTAACACGGTTATTATTTAAAACTTTCATTTCATAGTTTCCTGTAGCATGTTTTTCAGGGAGTTCTTTCAGCGGCCGCATGTTTTCGACTTTGTCTACAAAAATAGGGGGTGGTTTAGGAACTTTCTCTGTAACATCATTTTGTGTGGTATTCTCTTGGATGGGATAAGTTTCCAAACCCTCAAATCTGTTTGATGTCGGTATTGGTTTGCTGAGCCAATAGCTGCTGAGTTTAGTCTGCTTATTAGCATGGTCATTATCGTGCTCAGGGCTCTCTCTTGGGCGCTTTCTTTCTTTTACATTTGTCCATGGAGTTTGAGATTTTGTTCCACTAGTCATAGAGTCATCAGATTCCAATTGTTCTGTCGTTTTTTGTATGAGTTGTTCATCGCTAAGTGATTGAGACCTAGGCCTGTTCACGAACAGAGACTTATGAAATATTTGCTGCGTTAAGGTCTTGTTTTGCTGGTAGGTTGAGTTTGTTTTTAATAATTTATCATCCATATTATTCCCACGAGTAGGGTCGATTTAAAAAGGTCACTAGGAGGGTGACGCCCATTCCCCCTAGAAGGAAAATACATCGGTGTTTTCCAGGTCCACCGAGGTTGATCGCTTTCGACTGATCTCCCCATCAGCCCCACATGGCACGTATCACACTGTGGAGTTGGAGTAACTTTTTATGGAGGTTTTCTACCTCTTGGTCCAGACAATTAAGCCAAGGCCTCCAGTTTCGCTTGCTGTGCAGGCGAAGATACGGATTGTGAGGGTCATTTCCTACCCTCACAAGTGCCAGGCTTGTTAAGCTGTTTAAAAATTTGAAAATAATTTTGCCAAATCCCTTTGTATTTAAGATATGGAACACTATACTTTTTTTCTTTTTAAATCTCTTATCTATTAGACAAGTCCGTCCGTCCGTCCGTGGTGCTGTTTCAGCGGCCAAACCGTAAGAGATAGATATAGAGAATGTTTAAGTTATAAGTTAAGAATAGTCTGATAAGACTACAAACCGGATGTGAGTAACGTAGCACTTCCGGTTTTCGAGAAATCACGTGATTTCTATTTCAAACGAAACCACACAAAATCTCCGAAGTTCTCAATTAATTAAATTTTTTTTTTTTATTGGTGAACATTTGGTTCACTGGTTTGCTAGTAAAATTATAATAAAATATGTTTTAAAACTCTATTAAACAATATGGGTTACCTGAGGGGGCCATGCTTGCTTTTAGGGATGTATTTAATAATAGTTTCATGTAATATGTTATAAAATATATCTACCAGTTGACCTACATAGCTTAATCTTGAAAATATTATGCACCAATCAACTTTTTTGGGGTGATTAATAATGCTGGTATAGTCCGCTTTAAAAAGTTATAACTTATTTATTATTTCAGTAGTGGGTTCCGATGAGCTATTGTCACAAAATACATAGAAAAGCATTGGTGGATGATATGGATCTATATTGCTTAGAGGAGTGGTGCAATGACCAGTCTACATTATGTCACTAAGTACTAAATCCAAGATTACATTATTATTGCTTTTCACAAAATGAAACTGATTTGAATTGGTGAAAGAGATAAAATCCAACAATATGTTGTTTAATTTACTATTTGAATTAGAGGATCCTATTAAATGTGAAGAGTCTTATGACATCCATGATACCTTTCCTAGGTAAGTTTCCAACGATAAGGGACGGACCTTCGTTTTCAAGTAATTGACAAGTGTTGAGGCTGTATACAGAATGAATAGGAGAGACTGTTGACACATTGTCATTGTACAGTGAAAACCCAGTAAATAAAAATAAGTTAATAACAAAAATTGACTGTCATTTTTTATGCAAAAATCCATTATGTTTTCATTAAACCATTGTGAATAGAAATCAATGTTAGATAATACATTCATGAATTTTCACTGATGGAAAACAGATTTGATTTGTTTTATCAACATACATATTTTATTTTAAGATTAGAGAATCAGGCCAATATTACTTTAAAATTTATCAAGGCTAAAAATATAGAATAAGGTCTGTCAAGGTAGCTGACCCCAATTTTATGGCAGAAAGATTGTATTTTCAGAAGTTTAAAAATTATAAATCAGAAATCGTGCGGGAGGAGGAGAGGGGTAATCTCCTATCCCTCCTCCCACACCTACATTACCACCCCTTAAATCGACAGACCTTAATCTATATTTTTACCTTTATCAATATAGAACTCACCTGAGCCTGTGCTAGCTGCTGAGATATGGCTTGCAAAAAATCCACCTGAAGTGTTGAACAGGAATAAGGTTCTTCACTGTTTTTATTAGGTGTAGGAATACCTCCGTCTCCTTCATCAGCTGATAATACTTCAGCCAGAGTAGGTGCATTACTTGGAGGTAATGCATATTCTACTTCATCTAACTAAAATCCACAAAGTAATACTAGTTACTGTTCAACTTTAAAATAGATATGTGAATAGGTAACTCATTTAGCAAATCATGTTTCAAGTTCTGTGGGAGACTTTTTCCACGACTTATTTTTTATATATTATATGTTGCAAGTTAATTATAAATACATAGGCAGTTCCTGTTATTATGTTTATTTTGGATCTGACAGTCTTCTGACGTCGCCTATGACGGTCACATTTTACAATAAGAAATCAAAAGGTTCTGTGGTTTTATGGTGCGGCAATTTAAGAACCTACTCAAAATCAAAACTTAAAACTGTGAATGTGGGCGTTATCGTAAAAACAAGGTTAATTACCTATTAAAATTTTAAGAGTATTTTCAGTATTTTTTGATGATATTTTTAAATCACTCACCTCTTCAATATCTAAGTACTGAAGACTTTCAACAGATTCTAAATCAGAATCTAGCAAAGACTGCATTGAAGGAGTTTTTAACAAGTCCATTATGAAAAAAAAAATTAGAGTTGTAAGAAAAGTAAATAAGTGTTTCTATACAGAATAAACATTTAATAACAATACATAAATAATAAGTAAGATAAAGGTTCTTTTCGATAAAATTATCAAGTAAAGCTACGTGGGTATCGCACCTCCCTCAGCCTCCGAGCAAAAGCAAAACAATCACAGCACGCACAGGCTATTAACTACTAATGGTAGCCATACACACTACAAGAAATCGTTACGGTACCGATAAATCGTATTGGCGTTGAGCAGATATCCTAGCGGCAAGTCGCAGAACTAATGTATGACAGATAGAAATACGAATATTCGTAGAATGTACCGTTTCGTTCATAATTTTTCAAGAATTTCAAAAAAATTGTGCGATCAATTACGATAATTTAAGTGTTAAGATGGATACAAAGAATAATAATAATAATAAAAAAGGAAATAGTAACTGTTGTGTTCCTCAATGTAATAATTATAATAAAGAGGGTTTAAGTTTTCATATTTTTCCTACTAATGACAAGTTGAGAAAACGTTGGGAAAGTGTTCTTAGATTAGGAAAACCATATCAAATTATATGCGAGTTTGCTCTGAACATTTTACCGAATTAGATTACTTTCCAAGTAAGATCTAATAATCATTAACCTTACTGTTATTCACATCAGAAGTTATCAACACTTTTATGATAATGGTGTCGATTCTGGCATGATTCTCTAAACCTAAACTTAAATTTGACAACAGCGTATCCTTTTCATTCTCTATACAGTATGAAAAGGAGAGACTGATATTAAATTTAGCTTTAAGTTTAGAGATTCACGCCAGAATCGACTCCAGTATGTTTCTAATTTCAATGTTAAGGTACTGCAATTCAGTAAAGTTGAAGCTGAAGTTTTTCGAGTTGTTATAGACTGTGCTGAAACTCTTATTGAACGGCCAAACTGTCTAAAATGTTGTATATTAACATATTCGCATTATAAGAAAGGCCACACTGCAAAATTTAAATTAGGAATTGCACCTTCAGGCTTAATTACATCAGTGAGTAGATGCTATGGAGGACGAGCATCTGATGAACTCATTACATTAGAATCACATATTTTAGATAAAATGGATTAACAAGATGCAGTAATGGCTGACAAAGGTTCTTTTATTGAAAAAGAATGTTTAGAGGTAGTTATTAATCTTATTGAAAAATAATGTTTAGAGGTAGTTATTAATCTTTATCTAGTCCATTGTTGGTTTAAAAAACTCATTATTTGTTAACTTACAGCGTCATTTGATACTTCATCATCCTCCTTTTTTATCGAACAAGAAACAATTATCCAGAGAAGCTTTGAAGAGTGCAGAAATCACAAGAGCCAGGGTGCATGTGGAACGAGTCATTCAAAGAGTGAGGGAGTTTGAAGTTTTTGGCGCAAAAGTTGCATGATCGCTTTTACCTTATTTTGAAGATTGTCTTATTGTTGCCTGTGGTATGACTAATTTAAGTAGTCCTGCATTATGCTGCCAGTCACGTAGAAAGAAAAAACATAAATATGTCACTGGGTGGAATAAACATGTTAAGGCCGCTCACAGGCGGGCTCGACTTTGTTTTCAAAAGTGGGTAGCTTGCGGTAGGCCTATTTCTGGTAATATATTTCAAAATATGACAGATTCTAGAAAAATGTTTAAAAATAAGTTAAAATATTGTCAAAATAATGCTACACAAATTAAAATGGATATAATTGCGGAAAATCACGCTAATAAAGATTTCACCAGTTTTTGGAAAAACACAAATAAGTTAAACCCGAGGTCGAGTCTCCCTGTGAATGTGGGTGGTTCATGTGAGCCCCGCCATATTGCTTGCGTTTTCCAACAGTCCTTTAGGGTGGTCTCACCGCTCGGGGGCGTGTCTCAGATGCTCGACGACGAGGTTTTTTCAGGGGATTTAACGGTTAGATTCTCAAGTAAAGATGTTGTTAATGTCATTGCAAAAATGGAGAGAGGTAAATCGCCTGGATACGATGGCCTGAGTATTGAGCACTTGAGACATGCAGGTGTACACTTACCAAGAGTACTTTCTATGCTTTTTAATTTGTGTATAAGTCATAGCTACTTACCTGAAAATTTAATGCGCACAGTGGTTGTGCCTATTGTGAAAAATAAGTCCGGTGATCACGCGAATGTTTCCAATTACAGGCCTATCTCGTTGGCAACAATAGTGGCTAAGGTACTGGACAGTCTGCTTGATCAACAACTAGCAAAGCACGTTAACTTGCATGATGCTCAGTTTGGCTTTAGGCCCGGCCTGTCTACAGAGAGTGCTATTTTCTGTCTTAAGCAGACTGTTCAGTATTACACTGCTCGTAAAACACCTGTGTATGCCTGGTACCTGGATTTATCAAAAGCTTTCGATCTTGTAAATTATGACAAATTATGGCAGAAGCTCCGAAATGAAACAAGCGTGCCACATGAGGTAACTTCACTGTTTAAGTATTGGTACAGTAATCAGCAGAATACTGTAAGGTGGAGAAGCGCAATGTCGGATGTGTATGGGTTGGAGTGCGGTGTGCGGCAGGGAGGGCTGAGCTCGCCCCGCCTTTTCAACCTTTATATAAACCGGCTGATCGGTGAGCTCAGTGGTACCAATGTTGGTTGTTCGGTAGACGGGATTAGTATTAACAATGTAAGTTATGCCGATGACACGGTGCTACTGTCTCCATCGATTGCGGCCCTAAGAAAACTCCTGCGTATCTGTGAGGAATATGCAGATACCCATGGGCTCAGATACAATGTTAATAAGAGCGAACTGATGATTTTCAAGGCTGGTGCCAAAACCTACTCATCTGTACCTCAAGTGACGCTCTATGGTTCACCACTGAACTTGGTGAAGCAGTTTAAGTATCTGGGCCACTGGGTGACTGATGACCTATGCGACAATGTTGATGTTGAGAGGGAGCGCAGGGCGCTGTCGGTTCGGTGTAACATGTTGGCCCGCAGGTTTGCACGCTGTACTGTACCAGTGAAGGTGACACTGTTTAAAGCTTACTGTCAATCATTTTACACGTGCAGCCTGTGGTTGAACTTCACGCAGCGGGCGTGCGGCGCACTGCGCGTCCAATACAATAATGCATTCAGGATTCTGTTAGGTTTGCCCCGATTTTGTAGTGCATCTACCATGTTCGCTGAGGCGCATGCAGACGATTTCTATGCCATTGTCCGAAAAAGAAGTGCATCCTTATTAAGCCGTCTGAGAGGGTGTGGTAACGGCATCCTGAATGTGTTGGTCGAGCGGTGGGATTCCCCTTTATTGAGGAGGTGGATGCATTTGCACGTCAGTGCATCCCCTCTTTCTTTTATATAATGTGACATTTTATAATTTTTATTTTTTAATTTTTGTTTTTAATTTTTATTTTTATTTATTATTTTTATTTTTATTTATTATTATTATTGTTGTTTTTATTTATTATTATTTATTTTTGTTCTAATTTAATTTAATTTAATTTAATTTTAATATGACATGTAAAATATGGATGTAAAATGGTCCGAAATAAATAAATAAATAAAAAAAAAAATTATATGTTGATAAATTTATATAACTCAATAAAGAACGCAAACATAAAATTATTGATAAATAAAGTTTTATTAATCATTACAATCATTTTAGTTTAAATTGTTTCTGATGACAAAAAAAAATGGGTGCGTGTACTTATGTAGGCACGTGAGAAGTTATCTTTCTTTGGCATCGTTTAAAATTAGTTTTTAATTGCATGCAAATAATTAATTACAATAAATTAATAAAAAGTCTGGAAAAGGACACAGTCAATAAAGTTCAGTTTTAATTTGAAAAAATAAATAAATAATCAAAATATTCAATTGAAATCGCTACTGAATATAATTTATTAGAACATATGTGATTTGCACTTGTATGAAACTCAAACACGTATTCAATATTAAACATAATATACAAACTAAAAACATGTGGATAAATATTATAAACTAGCGGCCCGCCCTCGCTTCGCTTCGGTGTAGAGCTGAAGTGTAGACTACAGTTTTTGTTCTCAGGCTTGTATTATACACAATGACATTCATCTATGATTCTTCTTATACCTGCATGCAAAGTCTCAGGCCGATCGGTTTAAAATTGATAAAGTTTCATACAAACTTTCATTCCTTATTTTATCCCCTTGGGATTTTCTTTATATTTTTTTCCTTAAGAACCTTGTACAGAGTATTAGAAAACTACAATAAAAAAAACAGCCAAATCGGTCAAGCCGTTTTTATGTTATGTCGTGACAACGGAAAACGGGTTTCATTTTTATATATATAGATATGAAAACAGTCTCTGTTCTAAATTCAAAACTCGTAACTTTTCCCGATGTTTGTTGTACGTGTTTCCCGCGCTAGGACCGCGAGTGGCCGCGCATGCGTACGGTGCGGCGGGCGACGCGGTGATGGCAGCGCGGCACATGAAGTTGGTCGCTAAAGCGACCAACTTCATGGTGTTAATTTTTTGTGTTACAGATGCGCGCGCATCTTAAAATTTCACTCTCATAATTTTTTTATAACGCGCCTAAAGAAGTATAACTTCAAAAATCGTATTTATTCTTCAATTGCACCTTGAAACCTCTGCTTGTCTATTATTGGCATCTTCGTCGCTGCAGGTAGTATAAGACATTCGCACACCACTATAAAAAGTGAGTATTCACTTAGAGGTGCAGCTGTAAATAACAAATAAATTATGTAAACTAAGATTATAATTATTTATTGACGTGTATAACATTCAATCTACATCTACTGTTAGCTGATTTTCAACAAATCTGAACTTACATTGTAGAAGTATTTCTCTCATCTCTCCATCGAGCTTTCATGACCTCTGTCACTTGTACAGTTGGCCTTGATTGACACTTCACATGACACAAATCACAAAGACGTTTTGCTTCATAAGTTTTATAATGAGTTGCTTTTATTGATCCCCATTGTTGTTCCAAATCTGTACAGCTCAAATCATCAAGTACTTCTTCATCAACTCTATAAAAAAATATGCACATATTAATCTTATTTTTTGCTTAGATATTCAACAAAATAAAATAATACTGTCATAAATCAAACAAATCAAAGGCTGATACTAACCTGTTTAAAAATAAGCAATGCAACACTATGTTTACATTGACCAGAGTTCCCAGCTGAACATTTACATTTTACATCGATTATACGTTAACCTTCCAGTTTTGATGTGTCCAAATTACATTCCACTTCATGTGGATAATCTGGTGTACTTGACACCAGAAGTTTGTGCAGCTAAGCCGAGACACTCTTTTTCAGATTTTCGTTCATTGACACCAACACACATTAACATTCCACTTTTAAAATATTGTTCACCCTCACGGAGTGGTATTTTAGTATTTTTTACCACTTCGTAGATGTCTAACAGTGAAATAATAGCAAAATTTTGTATAAATAATATAAAACAACAATAAACTGGCTCTTTGTATTACACAGCTAGGTGAAAGTGGTGTCGATTCTAGCATGATTCTCTAAACCTAAACTTAAATTTGACAGCAGTATATCCTTGTCATTCTCTATACAGAATGAAAAGGAGAGACTGATGTCAAATTTAGTTTTAAGTTTAGAGAATCACGCCAGAATTGGCACCAGTATCTGTCATACGTTAGTTCCGCAAACAGCCACTAGGGAAATCTCCTCGGTACCAGTGTACGATAAACTGTTCCGTTCGAACTGTGAAGTCTGATTGTAACGATTTCTCGTAGTGTGTATGGCTACCATAACGAAACGTCAGTCAGGTTGACAAGGGTGACAGAGACGGCGCTATATGAAGCTCAAGCTAGCCGAATATCTCTTTCTCAAGCACGATGCGACTTATAAATTGCCTGGGTACTGTACTGATGGTACAGTACAGTTACTGGGAAATGTACTGATTTTTAGTTCTCGTTACGTACTTTGTGCCGCTGCTGTTCAAGTTTCCGTACAAAATTTGACATTGATATTTCGATTTGCAAACTATTCGAATTCGATAATGGTTCGTTACTGTTCGGGTTACTGTACTAATGAAAGGCCGAAATGGTGAAAGCTACGGCCGTAAAACACGAAATAAAATAAAAGTTTTTTCGTGCGGGAAGCTCGAAAAACAAAGGCGTCCTTTTTATAAATTGAATAGGAATGTTATGTCCCAACTCCCAAATCGACCTAAATGGATATCATCAAACCAAGTCAAGTCGACAACAAAAATTAAGTCGCTTCTCAGTTGTTGTAGTGTTAATATACTGGCGGATGTAAAAATTGTTTGAATAAAATTAATATATACCTAACATTTTTTAGGAAAAAATTATTTCTGTCAATATTCCGCTAACCGCCAAAATACAATTTCGTCATATGTTGTAATAATAACATTTATTTCAGACTATTCGTCCGTAATGATTAGTAACAATAATGCATACAAATCTAGTGTTAGTAAATTGTATTTAATATAAAAAATGCCTGACTCTAATCCGTCATGTGACAACACTGCATCGAAATATCGCAGAACGGAGAAATCAAAGAGTAGGATTATACAGGGCATCCCACGGCTACCTCACACGGAGGGAAAGTCTATTAAATATTAAAGATAGGATATTTTACTGAAAGAAGACATCATTTCATTTTTGATAATAACTAGAACTGCATTCACAGATTTTTTTAAAATCGACTGCTACAGCTGGGAATCAATCTCGTTTTTTCAGATTCAGATTCAGATTCCGAAAACAAGCGCGAGAAATAAACAGTGTAGTCGAAGGGTACGGTCAGAGTGCACTCCTGATTCAGATTCAGATTCAGACTCAGAAAACAAGCGCGAGAAAAAGCAGGCAACCTGCTTAGACTACACTGTTTATTTCTCGCGCTTGTCTTTGTAAAAGCAGTGAGAGCTGGCAGTGATGAAGGACAACGTCAAAATCCACAAAGGCATAAAAGCAATTCGTTCTGGAGCAGGTGGTGGCGGCGGCGACAATTGAAACGCAGACATTTTTCAAAGTATACGCTTGTATTCTCAAATACAAATATTACACTTTGCAAGGAATATGAATCGGTAAAATTTAACACTATACGATGCAAATTAAACAATATTAACATGGATAGCAAGCGATCTAAATGCAACAGCAAAATCCCTACATGACGAGATTTTTTCAAGAGAACGATTAGGGCAGAGACAATATCTATATAAAAAGTAGTCTATGGCTACACAACATAAACCATGGACTTAATGCTAATGCAAGAGAGCATATACATGTTCAACAGTTTTCGGGTGCGGCCAGAGTGCACTCAGATTCAGATTCAGATTCAGATTCTGAAAACAAGCGCGAGAAATAAACAGTGTAGTCTAAGCAGGTTGCCTGCTTTTTCTCGCGCTTTGTTTTCTGAGTCCGAATCTGATTCTGAATCAGGAGTGCACTCTGGCCGTACCCTTCGACTACACTGTTTATTTCTCGCGCTTGTTTTCGGAATCTGAATCTGAATCTGAGTGCACTCTGGCCGCACCCTTCGAAATCTGAATCTGAATCTGAGTGCACTCTGGCCGTACCCATAGTGTAGTGTACCCAACAGTGTAGTCTAAGCAGGTTGCCTGCTTTTTCTCGCGCTTGTTTTCTGAGTCTGAATCTGAATCTGAATCAGGAGTGCAGTCTGGCCGTACCCTTCGACTACACTGTTTATTTCTCGCGCTTGTTTTCGGAATCTGAATCTGAATCTGAATCTGAGTGCACTCTGGCCGTACCCTAAGGGTGCGGCCAGAGTGCACTCAGATTCAGAGTCAGATTCAGATTCTGAAAACAAGCGCGAGAAATAAACAGTGTAGTCTAAGCAGGTTGCCTGCTTTTTCTCGCGCTTTGTTTTCTGAGTCTGAATCTGAATCTGAATCAGGAGTGCAATCTGGCCGTACCCTTCGACTACACTGTTTATTTCTCGCGCTTGTTTTCGAAATCTGAATCTGAATCTGAATCTGAGTGCACTCTGGCCGCACCCTAAGTATCGAAAAACGCATCCGAGTTTTCGACAGATAATAAAAAAACACTTCCTATGGGTGCGGCCACAGCGCACGTGCAGGCAACGTGCACTGTGGCCGTACCCTATGAGGGGGAGGCTTAAAACAAGATTACTTGACGCCACTTAGTATTTTTAGCTATGCTTGACTCGAACGTATGCTGGAATAATGTCAGCCCTCCATTAGTCCGTTATCTTTTTTACTTGACATCACAGGTTACACGAATTATGTCTTGACCAACTTGACATTATAAAAATACAAAAGTTTTTGGCGGGATTTCATCGAGAGCGGTTGACGTCTAGTTTTTATCATTCTTAAATTCTTTCATAGTGGATATTGTAAAATAAAATTGATGTGATTTTGTGTTACAACTGTCTGCGCAAATGAAGAATTAGTGGAATCTTTAAAATATAGGCTATTCCAGTCAAGAGACGTGTGAACTTTATTGTATCTCACCGAAGCTTATTGAATAAGCCAACTCTATACATTTCGTGCCAAACACTCCAAGAAACATTGCAATGCGTCACACCGACATTCTAATGTAAAAAAAACATTATTATGACTTAATACTAGGCTGTATGGGCGTTGTTTCCTTTGCCTTGTCTAAAAAAGGGAGAATCTTAAAAAAAACTCTGCTGTCACTGTCATTGTAAAAAATAAACGGAGTGATAAGAAAAATCCATTAGCAGCTCTGATTAATTCCAAATAAATTTAATAATGTACCTACCCAATATAAATCAATCATACACAACATCACAAACAATATAAATGTAAACAAGCCACAAAGTAAAGAAGAAGGGAAAAGTTTATTCCAGACTCAAAAGCTAAATGAGATCTATACATTTTAGTGAATACAATACCTACCTACTAGAGTGAATGATCAGAAAAGTGGATCTCCAAGTCACTGAATAAATCTGCATTACTTACGTTTGGCAAAATGCAGTAGTTCCATTAAATTAGTCAATTATTTAAAAATCTTTGAGATGGATAAACTTACTGTTATATCTGGGACTTTATTTATGGCTGCCGATGTTTTTGCTATTGTTAGCCTTGCCATGCCAGATTGGATAATTACAGATGTTGGTGGTAAGTAGGTCTGTATTTAAACAAATCGTTGCTGTCACTCCAAAAAATCGTAGGTATGAAAAATCAAACAGTATTGTTATGATTCCAAAAAACTTTTTTTAGGGACAGGGCATCTACTTTGTCTATCCAAACGTAATATCTTAAAAGCAGTTTGAAGCTAGAACATGGATATAAGGTATATAGGTTGTAAAAGAACAAAATGTTTACATTTTGAAATGACAGCAATGATTCTTAATTTACTAGGATTGTCAAGTAAATTGTGTTGACCATAATGAAGTAGTCATAAATATGTATGGTTTTAAATTTACTGTTGCAAATCAGTTGGGTCTTCTATCACCAGTACTGATATGAATTGAGCACTACATTTTTTTTTTCTTTCAGGTGATACTCGTCTGGGCTTGATGTGGTCATGCATCACTTTGTACAATAGACCACAAGTTTGTTTTACACCAGATTTACAGCCAGAGTGGTTGCTTGCTTTAATATGTATATTTATTGGGTGTATATGTATAACAACAACTGTAATATTGTTAGCTTCAAGCCATTTTGACCGTAATGTCATCCCTTATGCTCGGTGGGTGGGATTTGCTGCAAGTAAGTTTCTATTTACATATATACCTTGCACTTTGTGACAATACATGATATAAATTTTTCATTATTATTGTGATCATTAATCATCTACAGACCAAAATGCTCTAACCACTTGGTCATCAAGTAACCTCTTCCAATTTTTTGTTAACCTCTTCAAATGCTTTAGTGCCTATAAGTGGTAGAACATTAACAAACTATAGCTGAACTGCATTTTAATTTTTATTAATTATGTAAATATTTTTTTAGGAAAGTGAAGATGTTATTTATATCTACTATGTTTACAGAATTATTGTTATTTTAAGTCCCTAAAGCCTTTGTTAATATAAGAATAAATCAAAAATAATTTATTAAGTCTAGGCTGTTATAAGCACTTGTGAAGGTCAAGGACGCTACACCATCGGTTTGCAAAACTATGGCGGGAGACCTTGTACTGAGAGGAACCGGCACGAAACTCAGCAAGGGCTGTTTTTTTCTCCCTGTATTGTTATATACAGTCATCAAGTTGAAAAATGACCTCAGAAATACTTCTGAAGTCACCTTCCATTTCATCATATAGAATATAGTTATATAGTGACAATAAATTTTATAGTTAACATTATATTTAGTATATAGGAAGCAGCATCAGATAGGTACCATATTACTGTTATGGTAAATGACTAATATCCATCAAATAACAAATTATAAGAAACACTATGTCCAGGCATTACAATCATTTAGATAATCATCAACTTTATAATATAATATAATAATAACTTTATAAGAGCCCTTTTACTCATAAGAGTATTTATGATCTGAGATTTAAATTTGGTCAGTGGTAGCTTAACCAGATCTTTGGGAACGTTATTAAACACTGCAATACTACAACCCAGAAATGAACCTCTTGATTTTTGGGTGTCTGAAACATGAAACGGCAAGCTTGTTCTTAAATCTTATGTTAAAGTTTTAGTTTGATTTATTTTTGCAAATGCGTCATTTTTTCTAACATATATTATATTTTCATAAATGTATTGCGATGCATGTATACACGCATGTATTGCATGTTAGAATATTAATTTCTTTAAACTTTTCTCTAAAAGATTCTCTTGCTTTTAAGTTGTATATGGTGTGAAGAGGCTCTCCTTTGCAGTATGAAACTACTTTCGATATTAGCAGCTGAGCCCCACAACAAAAGGCCATATGACATAACGCTATGAAAGTAACCAAAGTAAACCAATCTTGCCATTTCCACATCAGTTAAGAGTCTTATTTTTTTAACAGTGAAAGCTGCAGTGCTCGGTCTACTTGATAAGACATCAATATGAGGATCCCATTGCAAATGAGAGCTTAAGTAATACCCAGAAACTTTGTAGAATCCACTAATTCTACATTCTGGTCATTTATTTTTATACTAGTATTAACCTTATTATTATTAAAAATCACTTTAGGTAGAGTAAACTTAACACATTTAGTTTTAAATTATTTACCATAAACCAATGAAGTACTTCAGAGAGAGCACAATTTAATTCTTCATAACAATCATTTCCTCTTCTAGCTTTAAACACTTAAGAGGTGTCATCAGCAAATAGTACTGTCTTACATAAATTTGTTGTAAAGTGAGGAAGGACATTGATATAAATAATGAAAAGCAATGGGCACAATATTGATTGATTTTTGCCTGGGGCACGCCTATAGAAATGGGCGCTCCTGTAGACTCAGCTTCATTTATAACTACATTCTGAATCATGGCAGAAAGATAAGACTGTATCAGACTTATATTTGATACACCATAATGCTTCATTTTATTAAACAATGTTTCATGGGTAATGCTAATTAAACCTGGCTGTGTACTTGTTTCAGTGGTAGTATTCTGCTTAGCTGCTGTTATATTCCCTATGGGATTCCATGTTGATGAGATTGGAGGACAACCATACCAGCTGCCCAACAGTCACCAAGTTGGAATTTCATATATATTATTTGTGTTGTCTTTATGGATAACTGTGATATCTGAACTGTTTGCTGGGAAAGTTTGTCTGCCTCATTTCTAGATGTAATTAATTATTGAATATTTCTGTTTCAATTTTTTAATAATAGGGAAGGAATGTAAATCTAAGTAGTTATGTATTAAAATAATGTATTATATTTAAAGGTCTTGAATAATTTACCTTTTTTAAATTGACATTAAGTATAATAATTAAATATTGTTCAAATAAAAATCTCAAATTGCAGAAACCCCTGAAATACTTAATTATGTATTTTAATCATTTTTTATTTATAATATTTCAACATCTGCACTTCACTATTAAAAATTGTGCCATTGGCTGCCTGTGAATCAAAAACCATAAAGAGGTCTTCCTTTTTTCTGTGCCAAGGTGGGGTGGGTGGGTACTGTAACGTCCTTGACGTTGCAGCCTCCTTGTTTAGGTAAACTCTTTGCTTTTGCAATGCCTACGGTTGGCAGTTATATTAAAAAGTTAATGTCATGATTTTAAGATTTGAAATAAGGAATCGTCTGTCTTTTGATAGAAGGTTCCATTAAATATTTAGATCTTCAGGCACCAAGAAATCCTCTCGTATTTAGATAAAATACTTTTATATTAGCCTGAATGATAATACAAAATAAATAACTTATCTCTACCAGTATCTTTTAATAAATATCTACGTCCCCAGGTTCTATCCCTTCTGGGTAGAACTCTATATGGTGGACGCGCCGCGTTGATTCTAATACCGCGAGTGAAGTATATTTTTAAATCAAGAAAGAAATAGTTTTAAAAAGATGGAGACCAGGACCACATTCGACGGAAAAGGTGATGTAACCGATTTCTTTCGTCAATTTAATATCATCGCCGCCATCAATAATTTCAACGAGGATACAAAAAGAGTTGTGTGTCGGCATATTTAAGTGGACCTGCATTGTTGTTCTATAAAAAAATTAATGAGTCTTGTGAGAATTTTCAGATTTTAGAAAAGAAAATACGTGAGGAATTTCCATCATCGATAAATGCGTTGGAAAAATTTTTCTCACGAAGACAAGGCTTGTCAGAAGAGCCATTGACTTTTTTTTATGTATTGGATGAGCTGGCCACAAAAGCGGGAGCTGTCATCGATGACAAATGCTTCATTAGACAGTTCTTGAAAAATGCGAATTTGAATACAAAAAATCTTTTCGCATTTCAATTATATGATAATAAATTGCATTTGAAGGAAGTTTTACGACAAGCACAGGGCATTTTTGAGGACGAAAGCGTCGAAATTAGTTGGAATCTGCCGATCCAACCATCGTTTGCTCATTGTGAAACGTCGAAAATTTCTCATATAATAAGGAATGAAGAGGAACAGGAGAAGGAGATCAACTTCATTTCCTCCCAAAGTGTCCCTTCTCATCCCATTGTCCCTCCCGAACATTTGATTCCCCGCACTTTTTGTTCCAGTAACTTGAACAAAAAAAAGAAAAAACCAAAGAAGCATCAAAAGAAATTTTTTTACGAAGAAAATTTAATGACGATGTCTGATGAAGAAGTTCACCAGTCACAGTCGTCAGAAAACAGCAATCAGCATACAAGTGAGTCCAAACCATTAATTAATATAACGTGTCGTGATAAGGAGTTAGTAGGGCTCATTGATAGTGGTGCTGCAGTGTCTGTGGTGTCGAAGGACACAGTTAATCGAATTCATCAACAAATTGATGAAAGCGATACGAAGTTGAAAGCCGTCGATGGTAAAGAATTGTCTGTTATAGGGAAAGTCAACCTAAAATTATTGATAGACAATGCGTTATTCATTCATGATTTTCTTGTGGTAGATAATATTAGGCATAACTTCATCTTAGGACAGGATTTCTTTCTTCGAAATAATGCGATAATAGATTTTTGTAACGAACAATTAATAATCAAACATATTAAGTGCAAGTTTAAAAGACAATATATACAAATGAATAACGAAAATGATAGTGATAATTCGGTGTATGATGAAAATTTATATTATGCCGAATAGGTTGATAGTATTATAATATTGTGTTACTAATGAGATTTTATTTCAGTTTATTGTTTATATGAATGTTTAAAAGCAATGGTGGTATGTAAATAAGGTACAAAACAATAGTCATTTTAGAATTTTATTTCAAAAGCATATTAAATATAACTTTGTCATTTTATTAGAATTTTTTTTTTCAATACACATATTATAAGGAACTTTTACACATTTTGTTTATGACAGATCAATAGGTAGTCTCATTAAAGTATTTTCATTTCTTTTAATTGTCAGCTTTAGTGTAATTTGTTGAGTAGGTGGATTATTGATATCGTAATAACCATAAGAATGATAGGTAATAGGTTCGATTCTCTGTTCAATTTGGAATTACTGATTGACTTTGAATATGATCATTGATAGGATTAACTCAGTATTAGGATAGAATATATATAGTTAATAATGTATAATAGGATAATATAGGTCCATAAAGAAAATTCCCTTATTATAAAAAAGGAAACGGGTTCGATTCCCTGTAAGGTTAAAAAATAAATAAATGAATAATAATGTTAAATTTTGAAAATTTATCCAACTATGAAAAGATGGTATAAAGACTTATCATAAACTTAATGTTTTCATGAATATTAACTTACCCGACTGAAGAAAAATGGTGTAAAGAATTTTACTAATATTTTCTTGATTGTTTTATGTACTACCACATGATGCGGACTTCCCGAGAGAGAGCAGGCTGGCGCTCATGCAGACGTCAGCGATACTGACGATGATCCACCCTGAAGATGATGGAGACACCCTCTACGAATTCGCGTCGTTTTCGTTTCAATTTGGTCGCGTCGCGTTCGTCAAAATCGTCACTTGTAGTAGTTTGACTTGGGGGTAGGGAACCCTTAGTATTCCATGGGAATTGGGTTTAGTCTTGTTTGATGCTAGATGTCCTTACCCAAAATTTCTATTACGTTTGCGCATCATGGGTGTCTAATAAAGTACAAGACAATAAAGTGGTGGACCACGTCTGTATCTTTATTAAAGATGTACGAAAGTAAACATTAATTATAAATTCTTTTAGGTTTTGCTCAAATCCAGTTAATGTTTACGAATCTTAGGAAATAGTTTGAATTTCGTTTCGTAGATCTACTTAGTATGGGAAGTAATGAAGTTTCAAAATATAAATTTTCTTAATATTTAATGGTTTAATAAATGGGATTGGGTAAAGTTTTGCTGATAGATGGGATAAAAAAAAATTGCTTGGGTAATTTAAGTTATAGCTAGGGTTAGCTTTGTTTTTTTGTTTTTGCCGACTGATGTCGATGTAAAGTAAAGTAAAGTTAAGGTTAGGAGGGAGATGTGCGAGGGATTTTGTTAAGGTTTTGCTCCCGTAAAGTCTTTGCAATAAAACTTTGCAAACAGTTAGGGTTCTTTTCCCGTAAAGTTTTTTTTTTGCAAGTTTTGCAAACTTATTGTGAGGGCTAGTCTGTAGTAAAGGCCACCTCCCAGTTGTATTTATGTCCTTAAGCAGGTAGGGATTTTAGATAGGACCGTCGAACCCTCTCGATGTAGTAGGTAGGAAAAAAAAAATTTTGTTCGGTCATCTGGTATGACAAAACAATTTTTTTTTTAGAGGTGCCGGAGGGATGTAACTTGACGTTGCAGCCTCCTTGTTTAGGTAAACTCTTTGCTTTTGCAATGCCTACGGTTGGCAGTTATATTAAAAAGGTAATGTCATGATTTTAAGATTTGAAATAAGGAATCGTCTGTCTTTTGATAGAAGGTTCCATTAAATATTTAGATCTTCAGGCACCAAGAAATCTTCTCGTATTTAGATAAAATACTTTTATATTAGCCTGAATGATAATACAAAATAAATAACTTATCTCTACCAGTATCTTTTAATAAATATCTACGTCCCCAGGTTCTATCCCTTCTGGGTAGAACTCTATAGTACCAACGCTAACGCCAAAAACTAAAACGAGTTGGTGAGCAGCAGGAAGCGAGTGTGTAGTATTGATAGTTTAGGGTTGAAAAAATTTTTTTCTTAAAAATCACTGTTTGTCATGAATGTTATTTATTAGATTATTAAGAAAAGAAACACAATACAGGTCAGTCTTTTGTAGAGAGGACAGAAAACGCAGTCGCCAAGCGAAACGACGCGAACTCACCGTTTCGCTCGCGCTGCGTTGAAGCGTAGAGTTCTATCTCGCTCGCTCATTTGAATTTTTATTTACAGAAGTGTGCGTGCGTCAGAGTTACATGTAGTTGAGTAGGAGAATATTTTATTTGATGTATTTTTCGACAACTAGCAAACTAAATCAAAAGTGGTACACTACTTTCTTGGTCGACCGTACTAGATTGAATAATATCTCGGAACACTTATCGCGGAGTCTTTATTAACCCCTCGGCTGTCGAGCCTCAGTCAGACGGTGAAAAAAAATATGTACAGATCTGTGTACTAACCGCCAGACGGCAAGTGGACGGTTGGGAAGGTTGGGAACTTCACATAAGTGAATTATTAATAAATTGGACTTAAGCTTCTTGGGTTAGAGCTCAAAATAATATTGAAGAACCAACCTAACGGTTTGTTTAAAGATTGACGTAGCAGTCCATAGCCAAAACCAAAAATATTTACATATGAAGTTAGTCGACGGTTCGTCGTCAACACTGCCGCGTCTTTTGCGTTTAATTGTGGAAGTTTAAGTTAAAATTGTGATAAATTTCCTAGGAAATTATTGAAGGGTGAGATAATTATTACCAGATATGTAGTCTGTGAAGTGTTAAACTTTTGATTTTGGGTGAAACTTTTGATTTTGGACCAGAGGTAAGTTTGCACATGCTCGATTACGTTACAAAAAAACAAAGGTTATTTGTTGCGATGATTTGTTCAAAGGGTTATAGACGGTATATATATTTTAGGTTTAAAACGAATCAAACCATGCCGTTTAAAACCAAAATTTTGGAGTTTTTAATGGTTAGAAACAGTGTTTTTTTTTATATGAACTCAGAATGCATTACATTATCGAATTCGCTATGCAACGGAGTACCAAACTGTATATTTTCATGTTTGTTAGATTTTTTACTATTAATTATTATAAGTGAAAAGCAATGACAAAAATGCCGACTGCCTTAGAGATTATATTTTAGAATTAGCGCTCAAAACGCAAAAAGTAAAAAAAATAAATGATTATTTCATTATCATCAGCACCAGCCTATTAATGTCCCCGGGGCACAGGCCTTCCCTATGGATGGAACAGGGAGATTGGGCCGTTACCTACGCGGGCCAATTGCGGATTGGTGGGTGCTAACGACTGCATATGCAGCCGGGATCAATGGCTTAACGTGCCTTCCGAAGCATGGAGTAGCTCGAGATAACAAGTTTTTGGTCACCCATCCCAAATACGGTACTAAAAAAATAACTATATGAAACACAATTCAATCACAACAATAAACTACCATTGTAAATTACTGTAGTAAAAACAGTCGTATTTACCACTCTTTTATGAAATAGGCCCCAGTTGTAAATATTTTGTTTGTCACTAATTGATTGGTCTGGGTCATTAATATGCCGCCTAAATATGTTTTATTTGACATCGAAAATTGTTAGCATAATTTTTAGCTTAATTAATAAAACCTTAGCATAATTTTGTACAAAATTTTAACAGCCTTTTAGCAAATTTTATTTACCTATTTGAATGGGAAAACTTACAGCTATTCATACAAATTCAAAAAAATTTTTCGTATGAAGTGCGAAGGGAACATTTATTTATAGTAACCAAAAAACCAAATAACAAGTAGTAATATTCTTTCTTACTTGTAAATATTTTATTTCAACAAATAAAACCATTCAAGTAACTAGCTTGTAAAATATTTTATGCCTTTACACATAGATGAATGATTGGTTTCGCTTCACTTGACTAGATACCCAAGTAACACAGATGAGCTGCACAAAAGCTGCATAGAAGATAAATTTTGAACCTAAGGCTGATTTAGCCAAGCTGCACAAAGGCTGATTAAACCGCTATACAACCCTTGTAATTCCAAAATGGGCCCCAAATTAACCAGCCTTGGGCTGATGAATGTCTGCTTAAAGGCTGTCTACGTCTTGTAAAAGAGCTGCATTTAGGCTAAACCAGCTTAATTGTGCAGCTTATTCTCTACTTTTCAGCCGCTATCAAGCTTTTATCCATTGGTAAGTTTCATTGGGGCTGGATAGTGGCAAAAGAAAAAAATAAATTAAAATGAAATGTCAAAAATGTCTTAGTATTTTATAAATTGTTATGGCGTGCGCGTGGAAGCTATAATTGCTGGAATTGGAAATTATATTGTAAGGTAAGTATAGTGCGATTTTCTTATTATACTATATGTTCTAAGTGCGGAGAAAGTTTTACTGTAAATGTATATATTAAATTACATCTCATTTTTCACGCGCCCTTCATATAACGCCTATTTAAGATATAATCGAAAGAAAATTGTGAGCTGAAAATTTTTGTGAAATCACTTTATGTCTACAATTTGATTATTTGTGACTCGTAAAATTAATATTTATAAACTTATAGCTAAAACAGCTCATAATAAAAAGCCAAAAGCTTTTAAATTGCAGAAAACATACATTATTTTATCATCCGATTACTATCAAGATCGGACACAATGGCTGCCGTTTGTAAAGCAGCTCTGGCTCTTTGTTTCAGCTGTTATAATTCTATAGACTGCACACGGGTATCTATGGCAACCGTTGATCAGCTCATAGCTTTCTTATGTCTGTACAAAGTATGAAATAGTTACCTTAATCTGACTAGCGGTATAGTAACTACACTTTTAGTCAGCCTATTGGAGATCCTCGATAGTTATTTCGATACATTAAAACCCATGAATTTATTGCAAACTATTGCTTAATTGGGATTAAACGGAATACTTTAATTTATGTATGGTATTTATTTCTTTTATTAGGTTAAAGTTTGATTATATACTTACCTACTAAAATTTTTTTTTAGCTCTCTCGGTTAGGTAGTGACACCTATCTAGTACCGGTAAAGAAATAATTGATTCGTTTGATAAATAATAAATGTCGCGCGTAACGCGTAACAGTTTGATCGTCATACGATACGACACATAAATAGTATGTGTATGTATGTACAATTAACAATAAAAATATATAAGTCACATTCAAGTTTTACGCTTTTATACTTAGGTACATCGACTAAGTAATTCTTATTATTTAGTAGTCATCAAAATCATAACTAGTTAAAATTACTATAATTAATATCAATTAATAATAATATATAGTATAATATATTTATTAATGTTAATTATAATTTGTTGTTAGTTATAAATATATTTAATCAATAATTTTAACTAGTTACGATTATGATGACTACTACATAATTAGAATTACTTAGGTAGTCGATGTATATACCACTGCCATAACTAGAACTTTACTAAAAAGTAATACTAAACATAGGTACTTACATAACTTCATGAACCCTAAAAACATAACTCTTTTTTTTTGTTTGCTGATAAAGACATCCCAGTCGCCGCTATGCTTGCTATCCTTTTCTTTCTAACAAGATAAAACGAAATGTAACGCGATCACATTCATATAAACAATAACAAAAGTTTGAAGCGTGCCGACGACGCGGCGACGGACGTGCGGTTACTTTGGCACACGAGGACAACGTTTCGCAGAGATAGAAGTGTAATTACTTGTTAATTAGAACGAAGATTCTTTAAAAATAAAATAAAAACTAATCATTTCTTTGTAGAGGTAACTATTTTTCCGCAATATATGTGCGTTTGATATGTTAGTGATAAGTTCATTGTGTTAGTGTTGTTGAAAGTTATAAGTAATTAAATGAAATATTTTATTTTTCAGTGCCAGGAGCAAATCATGCCATTCAAAATTGTTCAAACGATTGAAAAACAACAACCAAAGTTGACTATAGTTCCTGCTTACTGGGAATATAACGGTGTGTTACGATTACCTAAAATAGGTGCCAGAAAGTTAGTTACTAACGGAGATTCCAGACCACTTCAAGGATGGGTATCTATGAAATGTACTGTCAAGCGGTCGTCATTTCAAACATATCGAGAAGCTGAAGAAGAACTAACTCTTATGGAAAACAAAAGTGACACAGATGTTCCTGAACATGAAGGGATTAATTTGAACTCAATTCAAGATACTAACTACAATTCGATGGCCGAAAATTTGGTAAGTATATTTAGCTGTTTAGGTACCTAATAGTTGCACATAATACTAACAAAATGAAAGATGATCTAGTAATGTATTTGATTTAAATAATAATCTATCCTCGTAAGCCCGGATGTCCTTATAAAGGAACAAAATCGTTACAGTCATTAAGACCGAAGCTTGTTTATAAAATTTGGATAGTCGAATAGAAATATTTTTTGTTTCAGATTTTGCTCAATCGCGGCACAGAGGAGGAAATACCTGCGCCACGTACGAGTACTTCAACCGCTGCAGCGCCCGGAGAAATTGAGTATATAATATCGACGAGTGAGCTACCAAATACCATTACAGATCTTCAAAACGTACAAATTGATACAAATATTTTTGAAGAAATATTGAAAAATCAAAATAAAATATTAGAAAATCAAAATGTGATTCTGCAAAATCAATGCGTCATGCAAAAAATGCAACAATGTGTGTTGGATAAAGAAGAAATAAATTGTAAACAGATTTCAAATTTAGTGGTTCTTGTAGAAGATTCCTTTACAAGACTAAGGCAACAAAACAAAAGAGAAACTGTTGTTTCTCTTGGCGATGCTAACGCTTTTGAGAAAGAAAGTTTTTATATCAAACCCTTGGCCAATGTTAAGGAATTGGAAGAATTGGAATGTAAATTATCTGACAATGTGGAAAAAAGTCTTTTAGAACAACGCTTTGAATTCTTATGTACAAGATCAGCTGGAAAAGGAATCAATTGTGCCTATAAGTTGCTAGATATTATATTTCGCAGAGATTTCTTATGTAAATGCTCCTGGTCAGGTGGTAGCAGAGGAAATGCAACTAAAATTGGCCTGAAAGGGTTCAAAAATGTTTTGAGTTTTTTTTACAACATGGTTCACTCATGGGACCCACTCTACACCTATGAAGACAACGAAAATTTTTTCAAAATGGTGACCAAAAATGCTACGAAACGATCAGAAATTAAAGATCTCAGAGCATCAACAAAACGCAAACGCCAGGAGGTAAAAGAAAGTAAAAACAAAAAGAGTAAGACAGAAACATCGCAGGAAGCAGAAACTGTAGAAAGCTGTTATAATTCTATAGACTGCACACGGGTATCTATGGCAACCGTTGATCAGCTCATAGCTTTCTTATGTCTGTACAAAGTATGAAATAGTTACCTTAATCTGACTAGCGGTATAGTAACTACACTTTTAGTCAGCCTATTGGAGATCCTCGATAGTTATTTCGATACATTAAAACCCATGAATTTATTGCAAACTATTGCTTAATTGGGATTAAACGGAATACTTTAATTTATGTATGGTATTTATTTCTTTTATTAGGTTAAAGTTTGATTATATACTTACCTACTAAAATTTTTTTTTAGCTCTCTCGGTTAGGTAGTGACACCTATCTAGTACCGGTAAAGAAATAATTGATTCGTTTGATAAATAATAAATGTCGCGCGTAACGCGTAACAGTTTGATCGTCATACGATACGACACATAAATAGTATGTGTATGTATGTACAATTAACAATAAAAATATATAAGTCACATTCAAGTTTTACGCTTTTATACTTAGGTACATCGACTAAGTAATTCTTATTATTTAGTAGTCATCAAAATCATAACTAGTTAAAATTACTATAATTAATATCAATTAATAATAATATATAGTATAATATATTTATTAATGTTAATTATAATTTGTTGTTAGTTATAAATATATTTAATCAATAATTTTAACTAGTTACGATTATGATGACTACTACATAATTAGAATTACTTAGGTAGTCGATGTATATACCACTGCCATAACTAGAACTTTACTAAAAAGTAATACTAAACATAGGTACTTACATAACTTCATGAACCCTAAAAACATAACTCTTTTTTTTTGTTTGCTGATAAAGACATCCCAGTCGCCGCTATGCTTGCTATCCTTTTCTTTCTAACAAGATAAAACGAAATGTAACGCGATCACATTCATATAAACAATAACAAAAGTTTGAAGCGTGCCGACGACGCGGCGACGGACGTGCGGTTACTTTGGCACACGAGGACAACGTTTCGCAGAGATAGAAGTGTAATTACTTGTTAATTAGAACGAAGATTCTTTAAAAATAAAATAAAAACTAATCATTTCTTTGTAGAGGTAACTATTTTTCCGCAATATATGTGCGTTTGATATGTTAGTGATAAGTTCATTGTGTTAGTGTTGTTGAAAGTTATAAGTAATTAAATGAAATATTTTATTTTTCAGTGCCAGGAGCAAATCATGCCATTCAAAATTGTTCAAACGATTGAAAAACAACAACCAAAGTTGACTATAGTTCCTGCTTACTGGGAATATAACGGTGTGTTACGATTACCTAAAATAGGTGCCAGAAAGTTAGTTACTAACGGAGATTCCAGACCACTTCAAGGATGGGTATCTATGAAATGTACTGTCAAGCGGTCGTCATTTCAAACATATCGAGAAGCTGAAGAAGAACTAACTCTTATGGAAAACAAAAGTGACACAGATGTTCCTGAACATGAAGGGATTAATTTGAACTCAATTCAAGATACTAACTACAATTCGATGGCCGAAAATTTGGTAAGTATATTTAGCTGTTTAGGTACCTAATAGTTGCACATAATACTAACAAAATGAAAGATGATCTAGTAATGTATTTGATTTAAATAATAATCTATCCTCGTAAGCCCGGATGTCCTTATAAAGGAACAAAATCGTTACAGTCATTAAGACCGAAGCTTGTTTATAAAATTTGGATAGTCGAATAGAAATATTTTTTGTTTCAGATTTTGCTCAATCGCGGCACAGAGGAGGAAATACCTGCGCCACGTACGAGTACTTCAACCGCTGCAGCGCCCGGAGAAATTGAGTATATAATATCGACGAGTGAGCTACCAAATACCATTACAGATCTTCAAAACGTACAAATTGATACAAATATTTTTGAAGAAATATTGAAAAATCAAAATAAAATATTAGAAAATCAAAATGTGATTCTGCAAAATCAATGCGTCATGCAAAAAATGCAACAATGTGTGTTGGATAAAGAAGAAATAAATTGTAAACAGATTTCAAATTTAGTGGTTCTTGTAGAAGATTCCTTTACAAGACTAAGGCAACAAAACAAAAGAGAAACTGTTGTTTCTCTTGGCGATGCTAACGCTTTTGAGAAAGAAAGTTTTTATATCAAACCCTTGGCCAATGTTAAGGAATTGGAAGAATTGGAATGTAAATTATCTGACAATGTGGAAAAAAGTCTTTTAGAACAACGCTTTGAATTCTTATGTACAAGATCAGCTGGAAAAGGAATCAATTGTGCCTATAAGTTGCTAGATATTATATTTCGCAGAGATTTCTTATGTAAATGCTCCTGGTCAGGTGGTAGCAGAGGAAATGCAACTAAAATTGGCCTGAAAGGGTTCAAAAATGTTTTGAGTTTTTTTTACAACATGGTTCACTCATGGGACCCACTCTACACCTATGAAGACAACGAAAATTTTTTCAAAATGGTGACCAAAAATGCTACGAAACGATCAGAAATTAAAGATCTCAGAGCATCAACAAAACGCAAACGCCAGGAGGTAAAAGAAAGTAAAAACAAAAAGAGTAAGACAGAAACATCGCAGGAAGCAGAAACTGTAGAAAGCAGCCAAGAAAACCCGAACCAAGAAAAAGAAGACCGGGAAATTGAAAATCGAGAAATTGAGAATCAAGAAAATGAAAATCAAGATATTGAGAATCAAGAAATCGAAAACCGAGAAACTGAGAATCAAGAAAATAATGAATCAGAAAATAATGAAGAAGAATCGCTCTGCTGATTATTTAAAAAAAAAATAATTCTAACTTTTTAATTTTTATTATTTTGTTTATGTGCATTTACAGTAAGTACTGACTAAGCACTACCTATTTTAATTTTAAGTTACGCAATCTCGTGGCGGCGATTATGATGTCATACTTTTATTACTTATTAAACCAAGATACAGACCGACTGCTATCTAACTGCAAATCGACTGCCAAATGGCAGTTGAGATGCAGTTTGAATGTAGCTGGCTCGACTGCACTGAAACTGCCGTCGATGACAACTGCATTCAAACTGTATCTCGATTGCCATTTGGCAGTTGGAATGCAGTCCATCTGTTTAGTCCTGTTTACTATTAAGGTACGAAATCTCGTGGCTGTGATTATGATGTTACACTTTTATTAATAAGTACATACCTATTATATAGATGCAAAATCATGCGACTGATTTTACTAGAAGTAAGAACTTAAACAATGTATCAGTACATACTTTAAATCTAATAAGCGGAGATACATATTAGTAGTAAATGTTGAACCTTTAGTAGAGGTACTAGAACAGCAATAAAAAATATAAGTTGAATAGCGTTATTTTATTTAAAATGTTTTTAATTATACAGTGTGTATGAGAGGTATGAAATACAACTCCTTTTTATGTTCTATACATACTAATTTCAATTTAACGTTTTCCAGCTTCACCGTTACCTCAATGCGCTCATTTTCTGGCATTTTAGCTTTAAAAATATTAAAGTTTGATGATTTAACGGGGTGATCAAAAACTTCTCTCAGCCCTGTTATTAAATACCCGTTAATTGTTAGATTTTCTTCTTTTACTTCTTTCAATTCAAAAATATCGTTAGTATGTGTCATGAAATACTTATCTTGTGGCTTCTTTGAAAGGCAAAAGTACTGGAAATAAATCTTAGTATGTTTGTTATAAGTTTTCTTTATGAATGGGCCCTTGTATTGGTTTTTTGTTTTCAAATCATCACCAAGTTTTTCAAAGTTCTCACTTAGTCTTTTTGCTACTTGAGGAAGTGGTTTCTTACCACCTCGCAACATTTTTTTAATTAAATATAATTTGTTTTCAAAAGGATATGCACTGAAAGTTTGCAGCGGGCCATATCTTTCCACCTCTTCAACAACGTGGAGTAAATTGTGAACATTACTCGTAATATAATCTACCCCATAAAAATCTGTGTAATGTTGAACAAAATACTGGAGCAACTCTTTTGCTAATGGCAAAAAATGCAAGTATTCCTTGCTGGAACATATCGTTATTGCGCAATATAAAAACAGAAAATGCACGAATGCATCCCGTGGTAGCACATCTGGCAGTATAATGATGCTCAGGTAAAACAAAAAACTTCTATATTCAGAAGCTTTCCAGTGGACAAGACAATCTATACCTCTGACCGATCTATGTATCTCAGACGGAAGTTTACATTTGAGTAAAAAAATCATTACCACATCTATGTTTCTTGAACACCATTTTGTAACAAATTTTCCCAAATTGCCATCTCGCCAACCAATTAGCAATCTCTTCATGACACCCAAGTCTATGAGATGTAAACAATCTGCCACTGGAAAATCGTTTACCATGTCTATTGGGAGCTGTAAAAGTGGAGAGTCAGACTTGTGATGAGCACCATACTGTTTACCTCTGAACCCATCGTTTGTTCTAGCAGAAGACGTTACTTGCGGAAAATATACAGTGTGTGAGTTGTGGGAGTACTCTCCAACAGTATTACATTTTAGGCAGCCATGTTTCCCATTGAAGTTACACACACCTGTAAAATAAACAAAAGAATAATTAATAAAATAATTAATTTATGTGATACAATGAGCAACAGCTGTCAAAATTTCCATTAATTACGGACCAAGCCAATTGGAAAGCGCAGTATGTGTGTTATATTCTCAGGGGTTTTCGGCTATTCTTTAAATTTATTAATTCTTACGTACACTATATATGCAAACGACTGAAAGAACTACAGATAAGAAAAAAAAATTATTTACCTTTTATGTAGGCTCTTGCAGGGGAATCGCAAACAAAGCATCTTATCCTGATCGTTACTGTTTTGTTGCAATTACTAAGATAGATTCCATTATCTAATAAGTATTTCATTTCCGTTACAAATTTCTCCAAATATTTTTCAAGGCTTTTAGGTTTTCCGATTCCACAATATATTCCAATTACAAATGGTTCTAAGATAAGATCTTCTAAGATATTACTTAAAATGGGCCAAAATTCTTTTTTAGAACTTTTGTATATAGGAAGGCCATCAAAGTTGATGTTTAAATTTATAATATCTGGTACATTCACCCACTTTTCCAAACATATTTGAAGAGAATCTGTAAGTCCATTATGCCAATATTCACCATCAAGTTGGATTTCTACTATACTAATACTTCTGGGAGTACGTAGAAGCGTTCTAGGATCATTTGGTAAAGTATTGGGAAATCTACTATTTATTATTTTTGACAAATCTTTTAACGCTGCTTGAGCAATATTTTTTTCTATGGCCCATTTTCTTATTTGTTCACGAAATAGAATATCGTTCGAAAACTTGCTTTCTTCAGCGTCTTCATCAGTGTCACTGTCTGAACTTCTATAAAAGGATGGAGTATGAATTTCATTATTTTCTGTAATGTTTGAATATCTAGAACCCTCGTTGAAAACTAAAACTCGCTCTTGTCTCTGGCTGAAATACGGTAGATCACTACAATTTTCAGGAGGATTGTCATTTGGTATGCTAACAATATTTTTTAAGAATACGGAACCATTACCGCTATTCGTTGAATCACTCTCTTCACTGAATTCTTGACATGGCATGGATACTGACGTTGATGGGCCAAGCTGATCAAAATTTTGGTTATTTTCGCAAGTTTTATACTTGGAATATTGTTTTGAGAGTTTTCTCTTAATCCCACCACTTCGTTTTCTCTTTTTCCAAGGTTTTATGTCCATTTTACTAACACCAATCGATGCACTACTGTTCCTTTAGTGAAATGACCTAATCTGCTACAGGAGTAAAATTAAGCCGTTAGAATTATAAAACTCTTGAGTAATTCTAATAAACCGCCTCAAGCTGCATTAAAGCTTTTAGTAGAACTTTAAAGCTTTTGGCTTTAAAGAAGAACTCGTTAGAAGTTTAGTAGATATAAAAACATTTTTTTATTCTCCTTTGCAAACATAAGCGTGTTAAGAGTTCCCAAAACGACCATTGTCAAGCTTACTTGAATAGCATTTAAAGAGAATAAACCTACTCTTTTAAACAACCTTTTGGTGCAAACTGTTGTACAGCCAACGTCTGCACAAGAGCTTATAAGTTACCTAATTAACCAAACATATACAAGCTTAAGGTTTTTTTACAAGTTAAGAGAATAAGTTGCAACCAGCGGCTGGACAGTAACTTTTTAATTAACTGTTATAATGCTAAGAGTATATTGTTGCTCTTTATTGCAGCTCTTAATCAGCAAGACTGTACAAAACTAGAAAAAATCACTCTTGCACAGTCTTCAGCTTCACCCAGAACCTTTATATATCTCTAGTGGAGTGTTATTCTGGTTAAAAGCTTACTTATTTCTGAAAATTCAGCCTGTGTGCTACTTGGGTACCGACGGCGCACGGTGGAATATGGTAGAACAAACGCATATCAAAATTGATTTTTATTACTGATTGAAATTGGGTAATATATGAATATAATTTAATAGTTCAAAAGTCGAAGTTTAATATTCTGCAGCGTAATTCATATTTTATTTCGTAAAAGTATTTTTTTTCATGTAGCAAAGTTAAACGTTTAGGCAGCTGGGAAATATTAAGTTCTTCATTTACGTTTTTCAACGTGAAATAGTTTTAAAACTTGAAATGAAAGGTGTAAGGTATTATATATTTTTGAAAAGCACATTTATCAGAGGTTAGAAATAAATACAATTGATTGTTTTTAATACGAATATAAATTTAAAAACCAATTTAAAGAAAAAATGGAGAAATATTTTTCCTCAACTTCGTCGAATCTTTTAACATTTAGAGTTGTTTACCGATGCTTTGAATTTAATGTTAAATTATAGGTTAGTTACTCATCTAAAACATATAAAAAAATTTGCTGCGGCTTTTTGCGGTTTTCGGAGATATGTGAAAAAATCGAATACTAGTCTGGGAACGGAAATCGCTATCAAATGCGGTTTCGTAGTTTACTTTTATTATCAATAGTTTGTGGTACATTTTATGAATTAATTATTTGATATTGTTGAGAAAATAGATATCTGAAATAATTCAAACAATATAAAAAGGGCAGTGAAAAAATATGTCTTCATCACCGTTTCAGTGGTCTTTACGTCTACGTACTCTAGTAGGTACGGTTATTTCATTATTCAACATGTCTACTTTTAACTGTACTAAACGTGAGTTAATAGTGTCTTATATAGAAGGCGGAAAAACGACTGCGGCACTTTCAACACATTTGGAGGGAAAACAAATTTCGGATGTCAATATATGTTTTATTATTGACCACATTCAAAGGGATGTCATCCCTTCGTTTAATAAACGCTGGAGTGAAGCAGGACGCAATAAAAATACCTTTTTAAGAAAGAACACCAATTGGTTGGATTCTGAATATTCGTTAACTATACCAACATCAGAAAACGTGTCAACAGACTCTACACCGTCTACTCCTTCTGGTAAACGAGGAAGACCGTGTGTGTCATATGGAGACTCTTCAGAATCAAGCAAAAAAAGAAAAAACACCATTTTGCTAAATGAATATGGTTTGGAGCACATTCTAAGCGCATATCTTCAAGGATTGCGTTCTATAGGAGAAGAAATTGAAGCAAAAGTTGTTGAAAAATTAAGGTTGGCTGATGCAGAGAAAAAGGTTTTCGTTATAAATCAATTAGATGATGCAAAAATAATTAAAGGGCTTACAGATGAAGAAGCATTAAGTGTCTTCATCGACTTGGAACTAACAAAGGCACAATATCTGTATCTCAGGAACGTTGCAGATGAAAGAAACTGTTCTTTATTTCCACCATACTATAAAATACAGGAAATGAAACAGAGGTGCTATCCACCATCATCAACAATCGAAATCACAAATACTTATGCAAAAATATTGAGAGTTCAAGATCTATTGGATCACACTGCAGCTCGAATTTTATCAATAGATAAGGTTTACAAGGATGGTCAAAAACATTTACTATTTTATAGCAAATGGGGTTGTGATGGGTCATCTGGACAAAGCGAGTACAAGCAAGCACTACCAGAGGAGTCTGAACTTATTTCCGATGCAAATTTATTTATTACTTCTTTTGTGCCTATCAGATTAACTGACGTGGAATCAGGCGCCATCACATGGCAAAATCCAGTGCCTTCATCTGTTCGTTTCTGTCGGCCTATATCTATAGAATTTTGCAAAGAAACGCCAGAAAAAACTAAATCGGTTGTAGATGAAATAAAAAATCAAATACAAACTTTGCTTCCATCAATAATTAATATAGAAGGCGTGGGAGTCCAAGTCAAGCATGAACTTTTTTTGACGATGATAGACGGAAAAGTGGCACAAGTTTTAACAGATACGCCTTCTAGTTCCACATGTACAATATGCGGAGCAACTCCTAGACAAATGAATGATTTAACCCGGCGAGCGTAAGGTTGGAATAAGTAACAAAAAGCGCTAGGTGGGTGTGTTACACCCAGATCTTGATTGTGTGGTTATTATACACTATTATTTGAAATATCTATTTTCTTGAATATTAAACTGATATTTAGTTATATTTTGAACTTAATTAAAAGAGAAATAACAACAAATAATTTAGTAATGTTATTTATTTAAGAAATTAATAAAATAACAATTAGAACTTACAATTATTAGTAATGGCACATGTTTATGACATTTTATGAAAAATATGAAAACAAAAACAAAAAACACTATTTTATCTTCAAATAGACTCAACGTAAAAACAAATTAACACTTAAAATGGATAATAAAACTAATAAAAAAATACTTATTCGTCATGAGATCTTGTGCAGTTTTCACAGACGAAAATGGAATGTTCCATACATAAATAACGGCTGCACAACAACAAACGCATTTCGTTTTGCGGTCTTTTTTTGTAGGACATATTTCACATTATCATCATTCATTCTCTATCAATCTTTCATGCTGTCCTTCGTCATCCATTTTGTTTTGTGTCACTTTCAAAACTTCTTTCGCTGACATTATCAATATCTTGGTAACTACTAGACTCGTCGGATGAACTAACTTCAGCTTCTTCGAAAAGACGTAATAATTTGTTTTGATTATCTTCGTAAGATATTCTAGATTTTAAGCATAAAAAAAAAACATAAAATAACAAATAAAATAAAATTTGTTTGATCAAATTCGTTACAAGTAGCGTAAGGTGGGTTTCACACACCCACTGACAGCTTTCAACCTCATCCACACCATACGCCGGGCGGCGGTCGACTGAAACAGTAGCAAGGGACGCTTCCGTAACTCCCCCCGCGCAGCTACTCCAGCGCACTAAGCGTATCAACAATTCGTTATTAAAATATTAATCGTTTTTTCTAGGTCTGGGTGTACCACACCTAACCTTACGCTCGCCGGGTTAACGAAAGTAATAGCTAGGCCTGAAAATGAAAATGCTTATCAATACGGATTATCCACATTACATGCCTGGATTCGTTGCATGGAAATGATATTACACATATCATATAATCTATCTTTCCAAACGTGGTCTGCTACAAGCGAAGAAAAAAAAAGACTCAAACAAGAAAAAAAGGCTGAAGTACAAAAGCGATTTCGTGAAGAGTTGGGTCTAAATATCGATAAACCACGACAGGGGACGGGAAATAGTAATGATGGCAATACTGCTAGGAGATTTTTTTACAATGCTGCCTGTTCTGCTGATATCACAGGGATTGACATTGATTTAATTAAACGGTTATAAATAATTTTGCAGGCTTTGTCATCTGGTATAGTAGTAGATAGTAAGAAATTTGGTAATTATACTCTGGAAACTGCAAGAATATACGTGAGTAAATATAGTTGGTATTACATGCCATCATCTGTCCACAAAATTTTAATTCACGGAGAGAGTATCATAAACCATTTCGCGGTATTGCCAATTAGGCAACTTTCAGAAGATGCTCAAGAATCTCGCAATAAGGACTATAAAAAATTTCGCTTACACCATGCTCGGAAATGCTCTCGAATAGCTACAAACGAAGATGTGTTTAATACACTACTTTACAATTCAGATCCATATATAACGAGCATAAGAAAACCATATGCAAAAAATGTAAAGGAGCTCCATGAAGATACTTTACACCTTCTGAAGGTTAATGAACTTATTTCAGATCCTGAAGCTCACCGGGTGTAAGATGTCAATCTTGCTGAGCAAAAAAAAAGAAATATATATTGCGATAATTTTGATTTGTTTCTGTATGTTAGCGTAGTGTTAAAAATATTTTACCATTTTTAATTTTATATTATCAATATAATATGATAGTTATCTTAATAGAGTAATTAGCATTAAGAAATAGACGTACACTATGTTTCTAAAAAATATTTCAATAAATAAATAATAATAATAATACTATTTTTTTTTTATTATTATAATGGCTCGCACGGTTTGTGCATTGGCCACGACAGGGTAAAAGGTAAGGAAACCAAAATAATGAAATAAAAAGGTTATGAAACGGAATTTGGAAGGATTAGGATCAGGTGAGTACGTAAAATTAATTTGAAACGTAAGTAATAGGTCTTTTTAAGTATATAAAATGCATTATAATATTTTCTTATAAATTACTTATAATTTTATATTATGTTTAGTCAGGAATTCAGATAGCTTGTTATATATATTATAATTTTTATAATACAATAAAATTAATTTGAAACGTAAGTAATAGGTCTTTTTAAGTATATAAAATACATTATATTATTTCTTATAAATTACTTATAATTTTATATTATGTTTAGTCAGGAATTCAGATAGCTTGTTATATATATTATAATTTTTATAATACAATAAGGAAGGAATAGAAGTAGGGAGAGGTACATTAAGGGATATTAATGAATCCATAAAAGAGGAGGAATCGTTGAGGGGACACTCGAAGAAGATGTGATTTAAGTCCTCTGCTCCAGTACCACAAGCACAAATACTATCATTTACTATGCCAAAGCCAGGTGGGAAGAAGAACAGTTATGACCTAGGCGCATTCTTATGAGACTTCATGTGGCAAACTTACTTAAATGAATTTTAGAAAACCATAGTTTATCGGGAATGCATTGCTGAATTAATTTATAATGTTTACCTTTGATGCGACTACTAGTATCCCAATTTTCTTCCCAAGATATGCGTAGATGCACTTTAGGAAGTAAAAGAAGATCATTTACTAAATTTTTATAGGGAAAGACGTCACCACAATTCACTGAATCTTTAGCGAGTTTATCAGCTACTTCATTGCCAGTGATGTATGATGGCCAGGTATCCACGCAAAGAGGACATTTAGATTCTTCAAAGTACAATTCAGTAATAATTTTCTACAATCGATCAAATAAGCATCAGAGGAAGAAGCTTTAAAGGGAAATTTTTCTATTGCCTGTAAAGTGCTTTTGGAATCGAAAAAAAAACTTTTTTAAATCATTTTGTGACTTTTCTTTTTTAATTAAAAAAAATACGCATAATTCCAATTCATCAAACATTACTTTTATGAATCCTTATGTATCACTTTATATTATAGCAAAATTTTATAAGTCTATCTTTCAAATTGACGGAGTTACAGATTTTTAATCCGAAACACACCGAAATATTCCACAGTGCGGCGTAGGTACTTGTCTACTGCGGCAAAACAAATACTATGCCGAAATCGGCATACCCGAACCTTCACAGTGTCAGTCACATTGACAGAGCTGCGCTTTAGGTGTTAGTCCCGAATATTTTAATCAATTTAGAGCACAATCCGCAGCAAAATGCCAGTTTGTGTTGTGAAACATTGGAAGAATAATTGTTCAAACAATAAAAAGGACACTGGGATCACATACCATCAGTAAGTATCTTATAATTTCGAAAATTTGATGTAAAATTTCATGAAAAATAAACGTCATTTATGGTTGAGATTATAATATGAATATATCTCAAAATACAGAACAAACCAGAAACCGTCAATGCGCTCAAAAGTGAAACCATACAAACCACGCCGGAACGGTGTGGTTCGTCAAATTGTCATTTAGTCAATGACAATGGCCGACGCTCATAGGGATGTCGAAAGTTGAAAAAAATATCGATATATCGATATTTTAAAAAATATCAATATCGGCTTCGATATATCGCGAAAAAAAATATCGATATATCGGGCCAATTTTTCCAAAAATATATTTAGGTCAGCCTAGCATAGTAATAATAGTTCAATACAAATAATTATATTTATAATTAAAGAAAGAATTATCAAAGTACCAAATTGCCGCTACACTTCATGACAGTACAGTATCTCACGAAATATGATACGCGGAATAATAATGGAAGGAAAATTATCTCCCTAAAAATAGACCCTATATACAATGATGAAAATGCCAATGCCAGGGCCTCTCAGGTGCCATCTTTCGTAAACAAGACTAGACAGTCACACACTTCCACAGAATATAATGGAAATCAGCACAACCAATTCACCAGCGAAACAGATTTACAAATAATAGGGTGCGGCCAGAGTGCACTCAGATTCAGACTCAGATTCAGATTTCGAAAACAAGCGCGAGAAATAAACAGTGTAGTCTAAGCAGGTTGCCTGCTTTTTCTCGCGCTTTGTTTTCTGAGACTGAATCTGAATCTGAATCAGGAGTGCACTCTGGCCGTACCCTTCGACTACACTGTTTATTTCTCGCGCTTATTTTCGGAATCTGAATCTGAATCTGAGTGCACTCTGGCCGCACCCATAGACAATACTAAATACAGCACAGATCATAGATATGTTGAATATCATTAATCTGAGATCTAGTTACGATTTTTCCAGATACGAATTTAGTTAGATCGTGATATGCCGCTAATAATTAAAAAAATATCGTTTTTGATACGAATTTCGATATTGGTTATTTTGTATCGATATATCGATATATCGAATCAAAATATATCGGCAAAAAATATCGATATATCGGACAAAAAATATCGATATATCGATACATCGATATATTTTCAACAAGCCTAGACGCTCATACTGTTTACTAGTAATTTCAGCTTGTCAGTTTTAAAATAATTATGCCGTCGTGTGTCGTTCCCACTTGCAAAAATGCAACAGGATCTACGAAGAAATCAGATGGGATCACCTTTCATCTGTAGTTGTACATTTCCAATCCATTTTATTAAAATATTAAATTTAATTTACGTAATATAATTGTCAAAGAAAATCACGCGTCCTTTTTTTTTTTTTAATTTATTCATGACCTGGATACAGAGTCCTTCAGTCGAATACATTGTGGGTTACAAAATATTTTTAAATTAAAAATTAAGTAGATAAGTGTCCTTCAAAGGAGAGCAAGAATTGCAATACTTAAAATTATAATTATGATAATACACTTTTTGAATCGGTTACTACTACAATATTTACATTATTTACAAGGTCATTTACATAAGTTAGAGCTTGCTGTATAGCATA